GATCATCGTCGACGACGATCATCGTCGTGGGTGGCCGGAGGCGGATCCAGCGGTAGCACGAGAGCCGAATGCTACCAAGCATTCTCTTCGTCTTCCTTTATCTCTCTCTTTTCCCTTGCTTTTTCTGCCCTCTCTCTCCCCCCTCCTCCCCCTCACTCTATCTCTTCTCCTCCCCCCCTCCCCTCTCTCTCTCTCTCTTCCTCTCGCTCTTTTTCTCGCAAGACTGACAGACGAACATATTACGCGGTCTACGTGCATGTAATTATCCCGTCAATGCCTCGGATTTTCAAGTCCCTCGAGAGCCTCGCGCGCGCGCGAGAGATACGCTCTGGATTGATTGAGAAATCTTCCCTGTCATTGAGGTGCTTGCTGGTGTTGTCCCCCAGGCCTTCTCCTACTCCTCTAATTTCGTGTCGTTTTCGTCGACGTTTCTTGCCTCGAGCCGCGCAGTGACTTGCAGAATTCGTTTGGCTCGCTACGCGTGTCACATATATATATATATATATATATATATATATATACGAACGATTTTAATATTCTTCTCGCTTACAATAGAACAATAGATACTGTACGAGCCAGATGATACAACAAAATAAAAAAAGGAAAAAGAATATAATACTGTATTACCGCGGATATATTCGAAGAGAGAGAGAAAGAGAAACTGACACAGAAACAGAACAATAGCTATAATTTTTTTGAAACACTTTTACACATTTATCATACGTCTTTTTCGAAAAAATAGTGTCCCAATTTTTTATTTTAAGTAAGTACTCGGAACTTTGCATACGTACCTATCTTCATACTTGGGCGTACCGGAAGTGTCGGCGCGCGTCGACACATCAAAGATAGCTCCGCAAAACCCTCGCATCTCGCGTCGCCGGGGCGTTCGATCGATGAGGCGACCCGCAATTTCTTTTGTCGATCGCATAAACATAGGCGCCTCTCCTCGATACAACGAGGGAAGGGGCGGGCGGAGGGGGAGAGGCAGGGAGAGACTGGTACTTTAATGCGTGGCTATGATATGATAATGCGCCGGTACACGGGATTATGTATATAGGTTCATGTATGATAATTTGGCGAGACAAAGCCGCATTGTCGAGACATAAATTGAATCGCTTCTCTCCTCTCTCTCTCTCTCTCCCCCGTCCCTTTCTTCCTATATCCTTCTCCACCCACCCTCTCCCACTCTGATCATCGGAAGAAACGCCCACCGCGGAGAGGGACACACTTGCTGCACACCTTGATACCACACGCGCAAGGAGACTTTCTTCTCCTTCTCTCTTTCCACGTATAAGCACGCGAATGTCTTTTAAACTGTATGTTTACTGCTACAGATAATCTCTCGCTGGGGAGGTTGCAATTGACCATAATTCAAGATGAGGAATAGTAGTGATCCGAATAATCAGGATAATATCAGGATAATATCAGGTCTGGGTTGTTAATTAATCTAATTTTTATCTAAAGCTGAAAATTCGGAAATAATGAACTGTCGTTTATATCGTTTATTTTTTTTTTTTTAATGAAAGGAAGAGATAATCAGTCATCAATCTCTGTCATGTGGCTAGAATCTTAATTTTAATAAGTTACCTCAAATTTAATATGTAGTTTTCAATCTATATCTCGCTGAGATGTGATTATAATCGTCCACCAATTTATCGCACAGCTTAGCGAGGCTGACCTCATCGCGAAATAAGCAGGCACGATTCGCAGAAGCGGTACATACATCACTCGCAAACATATATGAATTACAAAGTTCCAAACTGGTTTCCGCGGTAACAAAAGCGGCGGACTCCATCTAGGCCATTGACAAGAATACGAATTTCAGTTTTGCCACGCGAGGACACGCGTATATTTTTCTTTGAAATAAAAAAACCAGAAAGGATTAACGAAATTATTACGCGCGTGAGATTACGCGCGTCGGAGGGAAAGATCGCGTGAGAGCGTCTGTCCCGGTTTTTTTTTGCCTCCCCTGGGTCAAATGTCAGATTCGCCGGTTAGATTTTAGAGGCGTGGTATTATTATTACGGTCCACACCAACACCCGTTCCCGGTGACCAGGTTGCGTCGCGCGCGAATTCCCAAGCGCGAATTTACAATCCCACGCTAATCCACGCAAAATTATATTTCAGCTAACGCCCCGTTCCCGCGCGCCTTCGCGCGCGACAAAGCGCGTCTCGTATTTTTCCTGATTAACCCTCTTTCGTCGGCCTGATGCTAAGTTATGAATTTCCGGTGATCGCTCGCGCGAGAGACTCCGCCCGATCGTGGTACCGTCCCGCTGTACGGTGTTGGAGCACGTGGGAGTAAATTTTTCCCACATTCGCCTCTCTCCGCGCACATAGATTTCCCGATGGGAGTAAATATCTAAAGATATTAATTTGCGTATATTTATATTTACGCGTGCTATCTTTGAGGATACACTAATCTCACTTGAAATTCACACACAGTTTGGTAACGTTATAGAGAAAATAATTAAAATTATATATAATCAAACAAAATTCTATATAAATCGTCCTTGGCCTTAGACGAATCATTACGCGATGGTCCAAGTTATAAAAAAAAAATTATTTATCCCTACTATACCCGTGCGGAATAACGAGTAGGGAAAGAATTCGGCATGCGTGCAGCAACTGGGGAGCAAAAACAAAGGCCGAGCGAAACGGACGGGAATGGCTTTACGGACGGGAGGAAGGCTCCGATCTCTCTTGGGCATGAAAATCGTAAAAAAAATTAGACTTTCAAATACGTCTCGTCTCTTTCTGGACCACCTCCGTATTATACGCGCGGCCAACGGTCCGTATATAAGACCGTGTACGTATACCGCAAAAAGCGCGGCCAGAAAACTGCGGTGGATGACGAATGTCCCAATGGCGAGGGCACCACGGGCGATTAGCATAATTCCCATGTTAACATTTAACCCTGGCCGGCCCCGAAATCTCGAAATTGGACGAGCTCTCCGCTGCGCGCGTGGGAATCCGCGCGGATCATTCCGCCGCACGGGAGAGAAAGAAAGAAAGAAAGAGAGAGAGAGAGAGAGAGAGACCGGCAGATATGTTCGCGCCCAGATAATATCGCGAAATTATGTAAACCGCTCCCCTTTTTCATCGTCTGACTCTTGTATCTCTTCTTCCCTCCGTTCTCGTTTACTACTTCATCCACTGTTTCCTAATCCGGGTACCCGAATATGGGCATTACAAGGTCCAGAAGGAAAAAATTTTTGTTTAACCGCAAGTTTTATAAATAAAATCTAACGAAATGAATAAATGAAATTTATGAATTGATCAAATTCTACTTAGGATTATCGTCGTAAACGGAGCCGTCTATAATGTACACGTCATCGATATCTCGTATCGATCCGCGAGATGGGCGAGACGGGACAGGATTTATGTGAAACGCCGCAAAACTTCTCACCCGCTATCTTCGAGAAAGGTCGCCCGACAGCGACGTTTCTCACCGTGGCGTCAACGCCGATCTTATCTCGCGCCCTTCGAGTCCGCCGATAGATCCTTTTAATTAACTTCGGTTAAGTATGTAAGCCTCTCTCCTCCCCTAGGATCAGTTAGACCTGCACGGATCGTATCCGGCAATATCTTCGAGGTCAATAACATGAGAGCACCTCGAGAGCGCGAGCAGAGCCAGGTTTCTCGCGTCGCACAATGGGACACTTTCCGGCGACGGGCGTTATTTTAAAGGTGAGAAAGGAAAAAACGAGACCATTAGGACGAAAGGTTCCCCTATAATTTAGATAAACGTGTCACGTGCTTTACGTATTTCGACTCTCTGGAATATTTTATATTAAATTAGGATACATGTACGAAAGTGTTTAATGTATGAGAAGCGCATTAAAATCAAACGTATTAAAAATTACATAAACAATTTTTACGTAATTTTTTACAACTTTTAATAGCGGTTATAATAATGCCCACTGCCTGCGGCATCTCATGTGAACGCATTTATAAACGAATAAGAACAGCCGGTTAAAAAAATTATCGATTAACAAGGTCACATCGAGCGCAATTAGCGGGGTGTCGCGTGATGTCGATCGGGACCAACTCTCATATATAATTAGCATGTCAGAAATCATATTGGATGTAAGGTGCAACGAGAGGATGGAGGTAGCCATAAAGTTATGCGTGTTGTATAATATATATGCGAGAAAAATAAAAATAATGATTGAAAGAACATCAGGAATATAGTATTCTATTTAGAAAATTCTAAGAATTCGCACGAGAAAGAAAAATTGAGAAAAGGTAATCGGTTGTAAGAAAACTTTATCAAGTTCATTTACCGTAATTTATCGAGCACATTCTCGATGCTACGGCGATGCCATTTCGCTGCGTGTATATAATAGAAGAAAAAAAAACGCATTTTGTCGTTCGCTATTCGATCGTTGTTCCCTCTCGCCCTCGTATACCCGAAAGAATTTGCTATCGTAGGGTTAATTTAATTCGTATTCAATGCTAATGGAAGGTGAAGTGTCTGCGATTCTTCATGTGCATCGGGACAACCTACGCGACGCACCGTACACACGTCCCCGGAGCGTGACGCCGTGCGGAATGGAACGACATTGGAACGCCGGAATTCAAGACAGGGCCGAGACATATGTCGAAAGTATTACGTGCATTTTCACTGCAACGACAGATGTGACGCGCGCGTATAGAACGATCGATGCGAGAATCATTCGTAAGAGTCATCCGTAAAACGACGAATTTTCTCGTTCAAAACATATTTCTTGATAGAATAAAGTTGTTCTATATTAGAAAATGGAGTAAACTCTTTCGCATTATACATAACAGATGTAGCATATGTATATTAAAAATTTGTTAAAATATTCTCTCTTTACAACTTTCTTCTAACATCTCAAAATTATAGCGTGTTATTTATTAAATATGAAATGGTTAAATATTTCTAAAGTCAAAATCGTATTCAGCGTATTATTTGTGCCCTTATAGTCGAATAGAAACGAGAAGGATTCTCAACAAGTAAAAAAATAATATTTACCACAAAGTTACTCCGCCGGCGCCCGACGCATGTCCAAGGCCTCCTTCTCCTTTCAAATTGTCAGACCTCTTTCCTTCCAGGTTGTCAAACATCCAAAAACTCCAAGAGGAATTTATTTTCTTCTGAAAGAAACAAATTAATTTTTTTTATTAAAGTTTGTTGAATTATCGGCTATTAGTCGTTTCATATCAGCTACATATAGTAGTGAAGCAATGTAGGAAATCCGAGGGATTCAATAAGCGTGCCATAAATATGGGAATTAGATACGTAACGATACAATTCGCCGCGCGTGTATAAGCGTGTACCTGCTTGGCCGCGCACTGACCGCTAAAATAACACACGCGGCTCAGCGGGAAACGGCTCTGAACCCACGCATGCACGACGTATTCACGGCGAGCAACTTAGCGAGTCCTTAATTCTTATCTACGTGTATCGCGCGCGTGCATTGAATCGCGTCGAGGAGTCGACGGCGATCAAGCCGTATCCGTCCGCGCCGGCTCCGGCTTATCGCCGCGGATGAAACGCGCGTTGATCGGCGCCGCGAGTCGCTGGTAACTTCATCGGAAAAGCGCGATCTCCGCTAATTACAGCTATCGCGACGAGTCGCGAGTGCCGAGTTCCTTCACTTCCTTCACGACTTTCCCGAACGCGCGGGGCGCCGTAAATCACGTGAATCTCGCGAGAGAGCTCGATAAACGGACGAGTCGCTTACGACCGCTAAGCGCGGTCGATACGATGAAATATAGCGGCTAAATCGGCGTATTGAGATAAGTGCTTGCTCCGGTTCGAACATAAGGAAGTCGAGGGGAGCAATAAGAGGCGCCGAGATAAGTTGAATCGTTGAGGCGATTAAGAAAAATCTGTACGCTTCCCGTGTTCCATATCAAACGATTTCGCGAGAGGATAATTACGAAAGCGGGTTAAATGCCGTATTGAGTATGGTTAAATACCGTAATTGATTTTACAATCTTCGATCGCGCCGTGCCAAAAGCAAAAAGATATTTATCTCTCGTTATCTCTTTTTTTTCGATGCCACCACATACACAACAAAAAAAGTTTGGACAAACGCGAGTAAATTACAGATCTATCAAGAAGCGAATATCGATGACTCGCCGATGACTCGATTCTTTAGACCGTGAGGAATCACTCTATCGATGGGATCGTAGGTCGATCCGGTAACATTGTGAGTCACGTCCCTGCGGCACGTTTAATTCCGTGGTAAGAAACGAGAATGGGCGTATCGAATCTCGACGAAGTAGTCATCGTAACCAGAGCGAAGGCATTCTGAATATCGTTGTGGCGGGCGCTATTGTTGTGCAACGAGAGACGAGTCAGACCTATCCCAACGAACGTGCGATGGGCATGCAGGAACGCATTTATATGTAAAAAAAAAAAATATTAATAAAACTGTAAATTTTTTAAATAACTGTCTCACTCGCCTCCTTTTTCTTTTAACGAAAATTAAACAGCAAATAAAAGAATCGAAAAAGATAAAAAAAATCAATATCGTTTGAATGTATACTCATAATTAATACTCATAATGATTAAAAGATTACAATGTCGCGACCATTCTCAGATCTCTTGTTATAGATTTAATTGAACGAACATTAAAGTATTAAAGGTAGAAGAGACGTAAATCCGCCCCTGCTGGTATTCTTCCAGCGTTTTTCGATTAGTCACGGCATATCGAGTACTCGAAACCCATTCGCCATGGGCCGTCGAGTTGAAATCTCGCCAATAAAAGGAACTCGGAGTGCGTTACGCGTCGAACTAGCGACCCACCTGCCGGCGGTGTCTCCGTAAAAAAATTTCAAAGATTTGATGTCGGATAAGCGTCCATCACGTTGTGGACCCCTCGGACCCACGGCGGTGTGTGTCTCGAGTTTTTGACACTGATGGACAAACGGGCGAAGCAACAATGGCTCGCATCGGGCATGAAGTTGAACGAATTCTGTCATGGAATGACAATATCAATAATACGTAGCGTGTTGCGCAATGAAACATTATTTCTCAAGTAAAAAAGAAACGTACAATGACATTCTTTAAACGAGACTTTTGATTGAATTTTAATTTAAATTCACAAGTCTCAAAAAAAAGGAAGATTGCCGTTGATTTCAAATTAAAGCAAATTCAAATGTATTTTCTTAGATAATCATAACTCTTGAATAATTAATTTCGTTTTATTTTACTCCACGACCCCCACATTCTCGTATACGGAGTTAAACGATGCATCACTCGCGACGCGGGCGAGATTTCACTACGTATCTCGAATTTGCGATCGCGAGGCATGACTCTGCGGGCTAGATAAGAGGATGATGCATATGTCTTGTTGCTGACAGATTTGATGAAAGAACGTGTCACTCAAAACTGACAAGATGCTATTTATAAAGCATTTTTGAGCAGGAACGTGATGATACATAGATAAAGACATGCGTATTAAAGGATGCGGAATAACGCAAATTTCAAGAGTGTATAAATAATATCTCTGTAAAGATTAACTCTGTACTTAAAAAAAAGATATTTACTTATTCATTACTCTCTAAATTTTTTGGAGTGAATCTCACTCCAAAAGATTGAAAATACTGTCACTCGGCCACTTGAGTGGCAGTATTTTCACACTTTTGGAGTGAGATTCACTCCAAAAGAATGAAAAGTCACTCCAGAAAATTTAGAGAGTAGACTGAATCTCTCTCTTTCTCTCTCTGCCCCTCAATATTTAAATTTTTACTGACAGTTTTGCTGCTGCCGAGACGTCGAACAATTTTTCGCAAAAATAGAGACATGCCGTTTTCGTTTCTACACGGCGCTCGTAGCGAACGAGCATTTTGCAGATAGCATCTTCGATATCATCGCGCAAGGCATTACGAAGATTTACAGTTATTCGAGTAAGCGGAGCGACGCGGCGTCGTATTATATACCCAAGATTCTCTCGACTACGGAACCCCCGCGGTGTCATACGCTATCGAGATATCATCGAAGCAGAGCGAAGCGCCAAGGCGTGCACTACTGATATTCTCTCTCGTATCTACTATGCATCTTTCTATGTCAATTTCCATAATCTAGCGTGCAAGACAGCATTAACAGATGCGCTACGGATTATTCGAGGGATTATGTCAAGTCAACCCGTTTCCGATATATGCGGGAGTAAAAGTAATAATCAAGTCAAAATTTGCATTACGAGTATATACTTTGCTTCTTTGCGTCATTTTGGGATTCCTGAAGTTTTTAATTATAGTACATTTTTTATCGTAATTTTATCGTTTCGAAAATACATGATACCAAGTTTCCTTGTATGCTGATATTATCTATAGAAAGGTCCTCATCCTGATTTCTGCGGCTAACCGCACAGAAGTTGCTTTCAAAAAAATGCAACCGCGACTAGATGAATCAGTGGATCGTGACTCATTCTATCGAAAAAAATGCCGGCATCGAGAAATTGAGACGTGCAGCATAAAATCGACAATCGAGGGCATAAAAACTAGATTGGAATACTAGTGCGCTTGCAAATATTGCGCTACATCTTTTTGATTACATATCATTTGCGAGCGTAAACGCGAAGGAGTTCAATATTTCTTACTTGAAAATTGGTCTTGAGGGAGTGCCTTAAATGGAACTAATGATGCTTAATGGGCTCTTTGCTACTATAAATTGATATAATTTTCCACGGGAAAAGGATAGAATATGCGACCTCTATACATATATGCATCGACGAAGGTATTTTAACGACGGCTTATCGATGGCTTATTACTCAGAATGTTACACACGTGAGCCTGATCATTTTCTCTCAAATTTTCTCATTTTTTTCTTATTTTCAAGGAACTTTTATTTGTCTTTTTCCATAGTCTCTCTAAAAGTCTCTGACGAAGTCATCGGGATAAATTGAGTAATGTTAAATAATCCAGAAAACATATCGAGTATAGATGATCACATAATAAGCCGCACGTTAATTACAATATCTTTCGTCACAATCCACGATGGAATATTGGACCTCCTACCCAATGTGGTGATATGTAGGGATTTTTTGCAATATAAACTTTTCTTACTATAAATATATCTGTTATAAATGCATATCATTTTAGAAAAAACAAAATTTAATTTCCTCATATCATAAAAACAATGTTTGAAAATTTGTAAAAATTAAGATAAGCGGTACATAATTGGAACTGCCCTGACAGCGACTTTAACGGTCGATGGCGAACGGTGCTGCGGTACCCTGTTGCAAATAGCACACCATTAGCCTCCGTATGAGACGGGCGTAATGTTATACATTATGCTCTAATGACTACGTGCGGATTGCTGCTGGAGCGTAAGTACGCGAGCCCGTTGTTCTCTTTTACCCGATCATCATACTAAAGACACAGGTGCACTCTTCAATCATGATTTTAAACGTTTAACATAATCTAATTATAATATATAATAATTTAGGGTGAAATTTTAAAAAGGTCCATCGAAATGTTTTCAAACAGATGCCAGGAAAAATGTTTGGCGTAAATAAAATTTAGTCAAATGTAATAATACCAATAAAATATTTAAAATGATATAAAAGTTGGAATACATAGGAAACGTAAAACAGTCGTCAATTTGGAATCGTCAATTTTCCGTCATCGAACGACGAGAGTGCTGTAACAATTCATTCATCAGACGTGAACATAATCGTGATAAAGTGCATCTTAACTAAGTAACGAGCAATGAAGACAAATGAGTAACCGCTATCACCTGCCCGTCCGTGACATGCCTTCGAGGCATCGTCATGGTGCAACTCGTGTTTAATTAAGGTTAACGAGTGACGTACCTAGCACGTAATTAAGAAGGAGAAACGTAACTGCTAACATTTAACGTTGTCGCCTTCTCGCAATCGGATATCGTCAGATTTTTCTGCGCAAATCGCTTCTCTAATTAATTTCTCTAGTTAATCCGCACGCACGTACCGTACAGCCGCAGTGTAATTGGGACGAAATGCACGAGACAGGAAGGAGCCCGTTCTCACTGTCTCGTACTTATTATGAGAAATGACGTGGAACGTTCTCCTCTTTCCTTTTTTTTTTTCTTTCTTTTTCCTTCACCCTCGGCAGGCCCCTCGCGCGATTGCATCTTCCCGTCAACGAGAAATCACGAATGCGCATGCCAAATCTTTGAAGGGGACGATGACGGGACCCCTCGCGTCAACGTCTCTCTCGTTTATGCCTCGCGAAAGCGACGTGACGAGGAACGAAGAAGTTCCCCCCCGGGCGATTTCGGACCGGCTCGTTTTCGCGGCGCGGCGCGGCGCGGCGGCACGCCATCGCGCCCCTCTCCTTCCCTCTTCTCTCGTGCGCTCTCGTCGTCAGGACATCCTATACAGATTGTGTCCCACCACGTGGCTCACGACGAGAGAGATTCGGCGGCCACTGCGCGAGATCCAGCGCGATGCATTCCAATGCAAATATCTCTCGCCCTGGGGACACGGGGCGTAATCGTCGCAATTTCATGCTTCTCAGAAATTCAACCTGCTCGCCTTACATCCTCCTTTCTTCTACGATCCTCTTTCTATATAAGCCCGGTATACTCTCCCCTACCTCATCCCACCCCGACTCCCGGTATATACTTGATAACTCACCCTCGAGTATACTTTGGAGCGCCTTAATATTTCATTGCTCGATCGGGAAGGAATAACAGAAGTAGTAAGTGGTTCGTAATGAAGGGTATATTTATAGCTCCCTCGAAATGATGGATGAACCGTGCGATTTTATAAATCACTTTCAAAATGATGCATCGGTCCCTATTCTCACTATTATTCTTTCTTTTCTTGAAAGAAGAGAAAATACAGATAATCACTTTGCAAAAGTGCTTGAGAAAGGTGCTATAGGATATAAATTATGCAATGAACCAGCAGGAGACTGAGGATATCAAGTTTCAGCTTGTCATCGGATCGGTTTTAGCACCTGTTAACCGCTCTGTTTACAGTTTACTCGTCAAGACGTCGAAGTGAAAACGATAAAGATAAATCGTCGTAAAATTTTCAATCGTTTTCTAGTTATTTGCTTCTTAAGAATTTTTTATTTCTTAAATTCCATCTCGTCTCTGTAATTTTATCGAATATAAAATCTCTGATAACATTATGTAAGTGATACACAATTATGTGAGAAAGAAAATTAAAAGAAGATAATTCAGATATACGTTATGAGGAAAAAGAATATAAAGCTAGATAATTAATAATCTTATAATTTGGTAATTATTCCCTACTTTTTAAATAAAGGGTAAAATTCTCGTGTCGAAATAGTTTCTATTATATACGTTCGTCAAAGTATTAATTGCTCGTTTTATCCTCTCGTTCGTATTTCTCACGACGGATCTCTTTATATTTCAGGGTGGTCGGAGCGGTAGTGGTCGGCGCGGCTGTCTGCAGCCGCATCCCTGGATTGGCGAAAAGTCAGCGCGAGCAGTGCAGAAAAGCGCCGCACGCGATGCCGGCGGTGGGCGAGGGCGCCGCGCTGGGTCTGCGCGAGTGCCGGCACCAGTTCCGACATCACCGTTGGAACTGTTCCCACGTGTCCAACGATCAGGTCTTCGGCCACGTGGTGGTAGTGGGTAAGGATTGTTCTGTCAACGGCGCTCGGTATTTATTACGCCGCGTAATACATCACGGACGTTACGTACGTACTCTTGTACTCTTTTTGGCGCCGCGAAAGGCTCTCCCGCCGTGTAAAGTATAGTAGGTAGCAGGATGAAACTGCGCAGTTAACGTCCGCAAGTGTGTCCGCAATGGAAACACACAGTGCAATGGAAAACATAAGAAAAAAAAAAAAAAAGAAAAGTTTGGATATGAGAATCCATCACTTGAACGCGTGCGTAAAGTAGTACAGCTTACTACCTGTTATGTATTAGTAAGTTATGTATACGCGTGCGTGTTGGAACATCCTCAATATGTTACAAGCTAAAGAAGATACATTGCCGTTACATCATTCTCGCATTCTATTAGGCCCGCACTCATACCGTACTAATGATCTTTTCATTAATATCCTCGTGCTTTATCGTCGATTTCATTCATTTACATTCTAAACGTCAGATTCTCTCTCTCGTTATCGAAAATTCAATGACTAAACATACAATTTTAAAGCCAAATTAATAAACCCCGTCCATATATTCAATCGTGAAAATTATTACAGTCTCGTGTAATTATTGAGTAATTAATCAGCGATTGTGTGTCTTAATTCCTTCAGAGCTGTCCTCCTTAATAAATCAAAATGCGCATTTTATGTATAAATATTTATAGCTCTATAATTTTACGAAAAACCAATAAGAAAAAAAAATACATTTTCATATGGAATACTATATTTCACGAAAGATATTAATGACGATGTTACATTAACATAACGTTTAAAATTCCATCTAAATTCTTTGATCAAAAATATCAAACTTTTTCATATTTCTCCTGAAGTTCAAAACCGAAAGTTCTTGAATTAAATACTCTATTCGAGTCAAATTTAACGCTAATTCAAATATATTTTACGTCAGTGCTCATATTTTTAGCGATTAAAATTTTGCGGATGAGAGACATGGAGTTTTTATCCTTTTGAAAATCAGCGAAACGGCAAGTGTGATAGTGTGGGCTACCATACATACGCATCACACATTCTCCGTATAAAATAGGATCTGGTTTCTCGTGTTACCGTTTCATCGTGACTGCAACCTGCACTCCAAGTAACATAACTTACGTTTGAGCACCAGGATTATCCCGTGTCGTAGCCTTGCGCGATTAAATACTAACATATTCAGAAACATATTTAATATATGTATATTCCTCAATATATATGTTCTTTAAAATCAATTTTCGTGATACTAGATAATTCTAAACTTCAGTATTCTCGCTCTTGTGTATAGTTTAATCGCTATTTCAGCCATAGCTAAAAGAGAAAATTTATTATCTCTTGCGAATAATACAACGCAATTATTTACAGATGTACTTAATATATCAAGCATCCTTGCTCTCTTTGTAATTTTTGATGGCCATGGGAGCAACTTAATGTCAAACGACAAACTGCGCGTCGTAGTGGCAGGTCGGCTCGATGACAAACGGCGAAAGTGATATTTTTCCGAGGACAAGATAATCCCTGATCTTGTGAGCGCAAGCTGATGTGTGATCCAAAAATATTGTTAAATACGACACATTTGTCATCCCGGCATAAAAAACTGTAAATGCGAGTCTAGAGGATGAATATCCCCACATCGGAGGGACATTACTCGGTCGTGTATAGCGCGTTACAACTCGAGACCGTGAGCTTTAAAGATTGATCTGACAGAGAAAAGATATAATACTGAGGAAAAATCTCCATTCAAAAGAAAAATTATTAATTCCGATTTCATATAATTTTCTCTAAGGCCAAGATATTTTTTATATATTATCTTTCTATTTCTAACAATGAAGTTTTTGATGTGAAACATCCTGTATATGAAGAACAGCAGATATAGCGTTTCGTAGTGATAAACGTCAGCGATTTTTCATGATTAACCGAACGGATTAAACCGCCGAGGTGGAAGAATCGAAGAAGCTTGGTAAACACGATGTGATTTACAACGCACAACGAGATGATCGCACTTTGTTATTCGTTATCTTGCTGCCATTGTACGAGCCTCGTCTGTCATTATCGAGTGGCTCGTGGGTGACTTCTGGAATTCCGCTGAATAAAATGCGCATATAATCGCATCGTATAAAATCCCGTGAAAGAGAGAGAGAGAGAGAGAGAGAGATTGGAAAAGAACATCACGATTGCGTGCACAGGCATTTGCGTAAGTCACGAATACATATGCGATAACTAATTACGAGTTTTGCATTTTAATTAATGATGATTATTACCTTTTTATTCAAGTTTACACAAGACGGAACGATGCGAGTTTTCATAGACGTGACATCCATCGCGAAAAGTACGTGTAGATATTTATTAAAAATCTTTCGCTGTTGTCGCATCTGCAAATCGATAATGTTGTAGAATTTTTAAATCGAAGAAAACCCGATACGCGGTATGTTTTTTGAAAGAACGAAAACGTTTACGTACGCTCACGGCGACACGGGCGCAAAAGCGGAGAAGGAAAATAAGCGGCGACGTCGAGGAAGTCGGACGAGAAATAAGAAGACCAGAAATTAATGCGCAAAAAAAGTATAAATAACGCTTATAAGAGACAGTGGGAAAGAGGATACGAGATGGAGCAGGCAGGGCGGTCGGTTGCTAACTTAATTAGTGAAATTAACGGGGCCGCTCGACATGCCGAAGCTAAATGCAACGATATATACACTTTAAAATATTTCCCTGCTCTTAAAACGCTCGCATTATGCATCCTATGTAATTTGCGAGCGTACATGTAGAAAATGAGTCTCGAATTAAACAAAGTACAATTAATATATTTAAAACCGCATGAAACAAAATTGGCAAACGTAAAGATATATATAACCTGTTGAATTGTATTTAAGATCTATGTTGCTCACTAAAAGTTAAAAGAAGCTATGGATGAACGGAATAAATTTCTGGTAGCATATAAAGTGTATATTCAGATATTTTTCAAAATAATTTCGATTTATTCGATCTACGATTTATTCGATTGTGGAAACACAGACGTCTCAAGACGCTTTAATATTTCTGAGTTTCAATATTTCCGAGACAAAGATAATAAACTCATGTCGTTTTTTCTCTGTGATTAAATTACAATCGCGTGTCGTGCGTGTCAAATGTTATAGCGACATAATAGATACGATTGTAATTGAATATAAATAGGCGCATCGATCGTCGTCGATTCGAAAACTCATTACAGAAGCTGGCTCAAAGCCGAGACGTCGTCGTGGCCCACTCGAATGAATTCCCGTGGTGAATACATTTTCATAAATTAGGCAGATTTATCCGAGAGACTTTTCGAGAGATTCGAGAAAACGTGGGCGGCTAATCGTCTAAATGAAACGACGTAATTAAGAGATTCATTACGTGGACGATGGTCCATATATTATCCGTTGTAAATTCAAGCGAGAACAAGACGTCGTTCTTGACCCACCGAGGCCACCGATGTCATCACGAGAAAATACATAGGGATTCCCCTCCCCCCCCCCTCTCTCTCTCTCTTCTTTTTTCTCTCTTATTCTTCCAATAATAAAAAAAAGTCCCTCTCAGCTGCTTATAATATAAACAAAATCTTCCAAAAATCGTTATCTCAAGTTATCGTTCTTATCAGCGAGCGATTCCATGCGAGTACATGCGATTCGCCAGAGGGCTAATATTATTTCGCGCATGACAACGTTATTCGGACAGCGTAGCAAACGAGCGATAAGCGAAGGCGAGAGAGCAAAGGTCGAGTGACAAAAAGAGAGCGCGAAGGAGCTGGTGGTTCGCCGTACGAGACACCGAGTGTATCCTTTTCCGTCCCTTCCCCCCTCCCCCTCTCTCTCACCCCCACCTTATCAACCCTTGGATAACATTGGCGAAGATACTGCATTAATGTAGCGTCCTATCAATTTCTGTGTTGCAAGTCCTTCTCTCCTCTCCCCTTCATCCTTCCGTACACTTATATATCCGCTCTCGCGCGCGGTGTTGTACTCGCTTCTTTCATTTTTTTCCGAGTTCTTATCCGTCTCAAATAACTGGACTGGCCCACACTCGGCGCTCTGGCATGGACACACCTACCTACCTGCGTCTACCTGCCTTTACCTGTCTTTACCTGCCTGCTCGCTTGCCCGCTTGCCTACCTTCTTATACCTGCCTCGCCTCGTCTCGCCTCGCCTGCCCGCTTGTCTGCCTGCCGGCCTGCGGTTCCTCCCCTGGTGCACAGTTGATGCATTCATTCTCCTGTTCCGCGTCGATGTGTACTCATATTGAGCTATATCGCGCCGATGACCGTGCGAAATGGCGCACATGCCGGGGTTCGACACACGTATGTACGCGCGGTATATATAGCTACAAAATAACGATGGTACAAGCAATAGAAAAGGACGATTCCGCCGTGCGAACAGATGTTCAGAAAGGATCTTTTTACTTTTGTTTTGAAGAATACCAGTTTGAAAAACTGAAAAAATCAATAATCCTTTATCGAGGACTTTATAACACCTTTGTCATTCGAAATAATGGGGGAAAAAATTTGAAGCTATACGGTTTTATAACCTCGCGAGACACGCGCGGATATATATATTTTGCGCCACCGTTATTTTATATATATATATCGATTAACCAGCTTTCACAATCAAGAGGCAAGACGATACCGAGAGAGCCCAGTATAATTATATTACGCGGTAACGCGAGTCGATCTATCTCTGTCAACGCTTATCTTACCACTAATTTGCTCGATAGATTGTTTGAGAATTTGCCGGTATGCTGCAGAAACGTCCACGGGAACGTAAACCCTGCGCGTGTGTATATCTATACCGTCCGGTAAAATAATTAGATTAGATAATGCGTGCGAGCGTCTATCGGAGGAACCACCGTGTCGTTCTCAAGAATTTACGGGCGATATACTGTTGCCGCAGCATTTCTCGCGATATCTCCTCCGGTCGTTCGCGGAACTAATATTTATTCAAAATCCAATTATGTACCCGGGTCTGTTTAAGTATAATT